GTCGGGTAACAATTGGCACACAGGTGCCCACTGACAGATACTCATTCGTACTGGTAGCAGTAAACCAGACGATCCTCCACTCCTCCTGGAATCGACAGATATCAGAACCAGCTATAAATTCCTCTTCCCAGAGGACCACTGCGAAAGGAAAGCCTCACCCTCTCAAATCTCTTCTATCGCAGTCCCGCTGCTGATAGCCGTCAGATGTCATTCTCTATCAGAACGCTCGTCCATAATAGAAGAAATCAGTAATCTGAATGGATCAGAGGCTGCCTAAAAGTGTCTCGTATCCCCTCAGTAAATCTGTAGCACCTCTCAGCAAGAATACTAACCAGCTGGGACGTACTGGCTAATGCAGTAACTCAGCCTCATACTGCTATCCGTCTGCTCCCTGAACAGCTCAGCAAAGTCTCCTGCATCTGCTTGTCGTGTAGAGGGGGAACACCAGTCTCGACATCTCAGTGGTAATCTTCCAGGTAATCAAAGAGTTCGCCTGCTCCTGAAATCTGGGCTACCTGTTGCCTCCACCAGTGCTCAAGGCCTCTCCATCACAACAAAAACAAGCTAAAGAGCCTTCCTATCAGCGGACACTGTTCCGTCGAAGGGTCTTTTCCATCTCCTCAGGCCACTCCTCGCTGCTCTGGGCTCAACAGCGCCCTTCAAATTCGGAGGTTTCAACCGGCAAAATAATGCAGATTCTATCAATGTCCTAGATAGATCTGACAGTAGAAGTCTGCTTGGAGTCTCGGCTCATCATCCTGAGCAACGAACGTAGCCAAACTGGGCAGTGATCTGCAGGCCCATGGGGTGTACTCCCCTGTGTGCTGGCCTGGACTAGCACACTGCCCGTCTTCATGTCGTGGGTCTGGTGATCCATACAGAAAAATCCGAAAATCCAAAAAAACTATCACAAAAACAACTACAAAAAAACAATAAAGTCAAAACGACTTCAAAACTTACCCCAGGACAGACTCACTTGATCACTTCTAATAAGCTCTGCTTTTACAATCATACCAGTTTTCACAAACAGTGTCTGATACCACTAAAGCTTGTCACGACCGGAACCCGACGGGGAGGGATCCGCCGAGCGGACCGCGCAACCTTCTTATCCGGATTGGCTTTGGAATTTGGTTACTGATAGTGAATCTTCCAAATTAACACCAACAGACACACAACTCAGAAAACAGAGCTACTAGTAAATCACCAAATACAATGCGGAAACAAACATCTATATTCATTTTTCCTCAAAACAATCATCTACAGATACAGTATATGCGTTTTGTACAGAAAGAAAGCAGAACAGAAAAAGCCATGACCTGTCTACAAAAATCAAGGTACACAACAATACCTATACGGATCAGAGACTCAGATTACTCCTGATCTTCCTCCTTCCCAGACCTTGAAAACCACCAGAGAAACAAGAGTGAGCCTTCATACAGCTCAGCAAAGAACAAACACTCAATCAAACTCTCAGAATCCAACCAAACTCATCAGACAGAAATCAAAGACAGAAATCGGTACAGAATAGATCTCGATCAGAACAGATAATATCAGACTTTATAGGACATTATCAAAACCAGAATCAGAGTCGTACAGAATCAGAAATTCAGATCATATCAAGATTCAGACTAAACGGAACAAATATCAAATTAACAGATAGTAATAGAAACAGAACATATTCAGATCATAACAGAATTTACAGAAAGATTACGGAAATTAGAATCAGAATCAATCAAGATATCAGATAAATATTTAATTCATAGCAAATGCCCTGACATGAGCGGAATCTCTACGGATTTCGAACCCCTTATGCTCTCCTTCCCGAGCACTAAGACTGAATCTCATGGATCCCAGGCCTTATGCTCCCTTTGTGGCCTCACGGCACAGAACTAATGTGCTTATAGCACAGAACAAATTCATGCGATCCGGGAACAGACTGATTTCAGAAATATTCAGATTTGAGGTCTATTCAGATTTCCCAGACACTACTGAATCTCATAGATTCAGACCCCCTTAATAGTTCCTTTTTACACCATCAGATAGCATTCAATTTCAGAAGAAATCCGGGCAAATTCCGAAATAGACAAAAATCGGGCAAGCAAACTGCGCAGTAGAAGAATTTACAAAAATTTCCTGCAAAGAAAATTTACCAAATTCGCACAGAACTATAGATATCACATTCCAGAACTTTTATTCTTTACTTGCACAGAGAATTTTATCAATGCTCACAGAAAAGATGTAGTCTACGATAAAACTCCGCCGATCAAAAATCTCCGGACAAAAATCTTGTGACAATAACAATAATGGACATATCTCGCACCGTCAACAAATAACGGAAAGTTTAGCGGTAAAAATGAAGCAATCAAAAGATACGGTCAAAACGTAAGGAAACGAAATGCCGACAGGAATAATACCGCCAAACTCGACGTGTTCTGAAAATTAGAGAAGGCGAATGTGCCTTACCTTGCGCTACAGAATATTCTGAACAGTCACTTCGGACGAAAACGCACGGCCGGCCGAAAATCAAACTTTTCTCCAAAAGTCCTCGAGTTTCATCTCTCCCAAGAATATTCTTTATTTTAATTTTGATTTTCTCTCTTCTTTCAAAATACTGGATAATCAGCTTTATTATTCTTAGATCGGCCCGTGCGATCGCCAGATGATCCCAGGACGATCAGACAAAATGATCTTCCGACGTCGGGGGGGGTTACCTGGCAGATTCCCAGAGACTATTGCTCAGGCCGATATTTTCTACTAGTGACGAATGGGCTGGCCGTATCCATAATCGGCCTGGACGATAGTACAGAAATCACACTGGAGCAAAACTGGGCAATTATCTGGAGCAGATTTACAACTGATCGTTCCCAGGACGTATCTCAGATCGTCCTGGACGATCCTGGAGCAGATTTTTGATATTACAGATTGTGCCTAAGTTGAGCTCCGGGATTCTTCAAACCTCAGAGCTCTCTTAAGTATCTAACACTAGGGGTCGAGCTCGGCTCATTTATGGGCTCGCAAGCCGAGCTTATCGAGCTCATGAGTCGAGCTTGAGCTCGTTTAGTAAACGAGCACGAGGAGTCTTGGCTCGTGAGCTCGCGAGGCAGCTCGAATAATTATTAATATTATTAAAATAATTTTATTTTATTTATTAAATTTAAATATTTGAAAAATAATAATAATAAATGTTTAAAATATTTAAAAATCTCGTAGAAGCTCGCGAGCCAGCTCGAGCTCATTTGAGTTCGACTCGAGTTCGAGCTCTATTTTTGAGTTGACTCGAGTTCGATATTTGACAGTTGAGCTCGACTCGAACTCCCTCTGATTCGAACTCGACTCGACTCGTTTGCACCCCAATTTAACACTAGCTAGGTCTAAGTTTCCAAAAGTCTAACCACTTTCAGATGAGAAGAGATGATCTATTTATAGATTTGGAAAGTGACATGTTATTTAAAATATTGAGAAGATTCAAAGCAAATTTGGAGTGCTCTATCAAATCACTCATATTAATTCCCTCAATCATTGAGGATTTATTTTAGTATTTAAGTGTTGTAATGATGTCAAAATTAAGAGATCTTAGATTTATTGGATTCGTCTCATCGAGCTGCTCCATTTGGAGCTTTCAAATAAGCTTTAAGCTCTTGATTTGAGTCCATTTGTGCTCGGATTGAACCGATTTTTGTGTAATTGGATTCATCTCACTAAGACGTTCAATTTGATTATAAGTTTGTTGAAATTGGAGTTTGAATGATCCCGAATTTAATATTAAAAGATGCCAATAAGCTTCAAAATTTGTATTTGTTTAAGGCAATTTTTAGTGGCTTTTTAGTGACGTGTCAGTATTAAAATATCCTCACATAAATTATATCAAGATGATATCATTAAATTTACATAAAAAAAATTATACTATACTAATTTAAAAATATATCTAAATTTCAAACCCATAAAAATAAAATTTATATCAAAATATCTTTAAATCTCCTTATAACTTTAATCTTTAGCCCTACTAACATTCTACCATCTTTTGTAATATTATTTGAAAAAAGAGAAAATTAGATTAGACATCCAAATTAAAATTTTAAAATTATTGAATTTACTTCAAAATAAATGCAATACATAACATTAAGAAATCAATAAAAAGAATTGCTAAAATATATTATAAGCCTCAATATTTCTCAAGTAATTAGGGTTTAATTAAATAATTAGTAAAAAACTAATACCCCATTAAAAATTTAATGCATACTATCTTATAGAGATATTTATACTCCAAGAAACCCATTAACAAATAATAACAATATAATAAATATTAATTAGCATTGAACTACAAGGACTAGAAAGCTATTATCAACTACTAAGTTTTATTATTCCCTTAGCACTTAGTAATGAGACTACTTTGTAAGATTATCATCATATAGATTAAAATTTCTTTTTGGAACAACTTTATTATTATTTCATGAAACAATTTCTCATACAAAATTTTCTTGAATTTAAAATTTTTTTATTTAGAAACTACTTTGTAAAACAATAAAAAAGCTCTCAAATGAAACCTAAAAGATCAAATCATTATCATAAACCCTATCATAATTAACTATTAACACCCACAAATTAATAAACAACTATTCTAAGAACTATTAAAAAGATAACTATTTTTTAGATTGATAGACAAAACTCTCACATACATAAAACTCAAATTCAAAATTTATTAGTTGGTAGACAAAATTCTCAACCAACAAACCCACAAAAACTATGTATTAAGAAGATCATTACAATGCCAACAACATAACAAAGTGATATTATAATAATATAAACCTATTTGAGACCCTAAAAAAACTCCTTAATTTAGAAACAATCAGATTGAAAAGTCTACTTGTTTGACTTTGGCAAGCTTTCATCAGTACAATAATATCACCAAATCATCAGTTTCAGACATTCTTCATGCACAAATATAAAAAAGTACAAAAGAACCCATTAAAAAAAAGTTAAACTTGAGAATTATTTCAAAATTACACGTTCATAATTTTCTCATTCTGCCAAATTAGGAAGAAAAATCACTTCTCATAAAGCAACATACTTCCACTGATAATGAATAATCACTGACCTGGTTACACTGGAACTGTAAGTTTAGAAAATATAGATCAATGTCAACCACACAAATAACCCAGATCCTTCCCAAATAGAAAGAAAACAGAATAAAAATGTGATTTTGGGAAACAAAAAGACTTCAGATTCCAGATTCCAGATTCTGGTTAGAAGTAGTGGAAAGATTAAGCTATAATAGTTAACTAGGCGTAGATAAATCCAGAAGAAATAGCCATAAGAAGAATGGCTGCTTCCTCTTCTTCTCCCAATCTTCGGTTTTTTTGGTTCCGGACAAGGCTTCCAGGCTTCCAGATAATTTCTCTACCAAAGCCCATCATTCTCATCTTCAATGAACTCATCTTCTTGCTACTGCTGTTGTTTCTCGTATCTTCACTCCTCTCTTTCGTACTTCCAATGGCCGCTCTCCTCTTCTTTCTGTACCTAATGCCGCATGCATTGCAGAGAGACTGATGAACATAGAGGACATGATTTCAATATTAGATTACAAATAATATATCAGAAAAAAAAACCTTAATCAGATCGAGGATAAATGCAAAAAGAAAAAAAAAAAAACCTTTGGACCGGAAGGGCCGCCTCTCCATAGAGGAGTCTTCGTCGTCCCGCAGTCGGTACAGCTCTTTGATCCATCGAAAATCGACACTTCGCAGTCTCTGTTGCTCGTATCCGCGCTCGGATCCGTAGATCCAGTTGCCTGTGAGAAGATCAGCTGATTGATTTAACCAGATCGGCTATTGTTGAGAGACAAGCGGCAGCAGAATCGGAGAGGAGTGGAGATCGGAGATCGGAGATCAGAATAGGGGAACTTACCTTCTCACCAGAAAGATCCATCTTTTACTAGATCTACTAATTCGAGCCCTAATGGCGATCTCAATATACCCCTCTTCTGGATAACACCACGCGCAGAGACCTGTATTAAGCTTGCAGAAGAGAGATGAGATATCTGAACTAAATCCGAAGAAATCAACCGACTAATCTGAACACAGAGCGAGTGAACGAGAGAATGAAAGAGCTGAGTGAGAGAGTAGATCTATGGAGGAAGAACGAAGGAAAAATCTGGAGGGAAAACAAGCGAGAAGGGAGGGAAGAAAAAAGGGCTACAAATTATTAGTTTTATATTAAATATAAGGGGGATTATTTATATAACTAGACACATAAATTTATCTATATTAATTTAATTAATATAATAATAATAAAAATATAATTATGTTTATGAATTTTTAATATTTGATGTAAAAGTATAAAATAATACATAATATAATCATTTTATAAAAAATTTGTGAATGTTATAATTCGTCTATATATATTTTGATGAGTTTGAATATATTAAGTAAGTCAAAATTGAAAAATAATATTTAAAAATATTTCACTAAATTAAATAATGTTTTTAAAAATAAAAATTCGTTATTAAATATAGGCTCAATTATATCTTTTAACCAAACTATTGTATTTTATATAATTTTAAAATAACTTTATTTTTTTTTAAAAACTAGATATAATATTTATTAATGTATTATACTTAATTTAAAAATAAAATTAGATTTTTTTAATTCATTAAATAAAAATGATAATAATTTTTAATATGATTAATTCTTTATCAAATCAAAATGCATATACAAAATGAAATTATAATTCATTATTTAATTATTGCATTGTTTTGAAATACTTAAAGGAGAATATTCCATCATAATTAATTAAGAATAAAAAATATTAATATTAGTTATTATATAATATTATTCATATTTAAATAAATCTAAAAATACTTGAAATATGCAATCAATTTTATTCCATTATAAATACCATTAGTTAAATCCACCGCGGGAGCAATTTACCGCTTGAACCGACATCATTCAACCATTAGAAAAAGTTTTTCCAGTGATCGGCTGTAAAGTCGCGAACCACAAGAAGGATTTATAAGGTGTTTGCACTGCAGGAATGTTCTGGAGCGCCACGTCAGTAAAAATATGGGTGTTTGCTGTTGTGACGACAGGCATTGGGATTCAGGGCCGGCCGCTGTTGTATTGGTGGCTCGGTGCCCTAATGGCGGGTCTGAAAACCTATCGCTCTATTAAACTAAGAAATGACATTCGTAGAACAGTTAAGTTCTTTAATTACGAAATTATCCACTTAAGTGGCCAGATTGGCAGGTGAAGTAGATTTCCTCGAATGCTGGTGGTGACAACGCGGTCGGTGCTTACTATCGAAATGGACGCGAAGATTGGGCTGAGGGTTTGAAACGTGGCCGCGTGCAGTGGATTTTATGATAATGATAGCAAGGTTTGTGAAATTATAAGAGGTTGAATGTTTCACTTATTAAATCTAAATTTAATAGAGTTGATTAATTCTGTAATAATATTTAAGTTCTTAACTAAATCTAAATGATATCTAATTTGTATATACTTTATACATCATATAATTTTATATTAAAAAAATAAGGATTATTTATGCAAAATATTTTTAAATAATTTTAAATTTAAATATCTTCAACTTTTTCAATTTGAATTTTTAAATCTATATTTAATTTACATTAAGCAAAATTACTATAAATTATACTAAATTTATGTTATATATTTTTATGTAGATTATAATTATAATATATAAATTGTATACAATTCCCACTCACACACCACACACACTATATATTATATATATATATATATTTATAATAATATATATATTATATATATATATATATTATATATATATATATATATATATCATTTTATTTGAATAACTAATATATAAAAAGTAAATAGATAAATATTAAATATTATAACTAAAAAATAAGTATTATTCATTTTATAAAAATTGAAATCATTTATTTTGCTTTTGTACGGTTTAGTCCACATCATTGTATGTTGCTTGTTAATTTTATACATTTTTTTTTTAACTCGTGATATACTTCATATGGTAGTAGGGAGTCATGTAAAGGTTGCAAGTAATATTTAATCATAGCTTAAATTATTTTTTAAGAGTTTTTATATTAATTTTATATTAATTAATTAAGTTCAACATTATTTAATAAATAATTTGTTTAATTTTAATAAAAAATTTTGACCAACTGATTTTAAAATTATCCAAATCTATTCTTTGTTCCTGGTTGAACCGACGGTTATGTCGGTTCTAGCAGGTTTGGTGCACATCATTTTTAAGGCTGAACTGGACTGGCTTAACAGACCGGTTCATGGCCGGTCCAATCAATTTTAAAAACCCTGGTTTTTATACCTTTTTTACTTTGGCACATGATAGGACTTACATGGATGGTGGGGTCATGTAAAATATTTGAATGATATCTTTAGTAAGCCCTTAAATTAATATGTAATTTAATACTCATTTAAAAGTTTTCATACAATATATTTTATATTAATTTATTAAGTTTAAATAATTTAATATTAAATTAATCAATTAATTATATTAAATAACAACATTTGAAAACATCTAGTTTAAAAAATTGGGAATTGTTCAACATTTACTGGTTGAACGGTGGTATTCTTGCTAGTTCCAGATCGTTTAATAATTATAATACCCAAATAATAAAAGTATTTCTAAGGAGATTCTTATTTCTATTTGAATGGAGCATTTCGGTGGCTATGCTTGGTGGATTAGGCTTTGAGAAGTATAACGAACGCTTGAAATCGCAATCATAACTCAGAGTTTTTGTTCAATATATTATGAATTCAACATGCAATAAAGGACACTGGGTCAAAGCACTGCACGCAGACCACTAACATATTTTTTATAAATATTAAAATCCTAAATTTAACGTTCATGAATGTTGTTAATCTATAGAACAATCCTGACACTAGAGAGGGAAAGGGGGTTTTAATTTGTTTATTTTAAAACTTCTTTAAACATAAAGAAAAATCCCCTTTTCAAAGTTTTTTTTTAACATCTAAAAACATATAATTTTATCTATTAACACGGAAGCAAAGTAATTTCACAAGAGCAGAAAATCAGAGATTTTCAATCATGCAGTTATCACAAAAATAAATGCAAAAAAATAAAACCAAGAACAAGAACACCAAAGATTTATAGTGGTTCGATCAACCTGACCTACATCCACTCTAGGTATTGCATCAAACCTTTAGTGACTCTCTTTTAGCCCAACATATAGGTGAAGAAGCCCTTACAAAATCTCTTACACCAACTTGGTGCGGTAGAATACATAATCCTTTTTTCTCCCTCTAAGAGATGGTAGAGGACCACAAATCCACATGTAGAGATCCTTGAATCGCTTTCATCTTTCCCAATACGGCAAAGTAAAAGGGTCCTTTGACGCCAAAGATATCTTCTTCTTCCTAAAAGTTTCCTCAAGATAAACCTTGAATATGATGGTACTAAGATGCAAGCTTGTCGGAGCAACCATGTGAATTCCCTTCCACACTCCCTTAAAACCCACGAGGATCTTCTCCCTCTCAAACTTCACCCTTTCCTCTCTCCCTTTCAAGGCTCTATCTTCAAGCATTCTCTAGAAGAATGGAGACTCAATGCATGCCAAAGACATTTACAAAGTCTTATGAGAAAGCTTAAATAGAGGGCTTTGAAAAACCCTAGAAACTCAATTCTACTATAAAAAAACCATACAATTCAATCACAGGATCGTCTAGTATGATGTGTAGAATTTGGCTTGATAGTATTGTATGATCATCAGATAGTGCAATACGCATCTCAAATTTGTATTGAGCATTTCGTACGATATTGGGGATTATTCTGGATAATTAGATGATTAATTATGGTATTTCATCTTATATGATAGTCGATGATTAATTATCATCCCACATAATGATCGGGTCATACAGTACGATCAATACTGATAATCTTGTATGATCTGAATGGACAAATTGACCATAAGTACTCCCATAATCACATGATTAATTTAGGCATGATTGTCATAGATTGTACATTACGATGCACATCATACGATACAATTAGAATAAAAAAATAAATTCAAAATATTACCTAAATTGTGAGTGGTAGTTGAGTTTCTTAATTTCTATAGATTATCTTATACGGTGTTTATGATATAGTATGATTTTTTCAAATTGCATTAATATCAAAATTAGATATTTTGATGAGCTGATCATGCAATACGATAGAAATCATATAGTACAATTGATTCAAAAAATTAAACTTCTAATTTTTATCCAATCTTACTTCCTTGAGTGTGTGTGTGCATAGTTACCAAGCAAGAAACATCCTTATAGGACTTGACTCAAGAAATCAAAAATATATTGTTGGATGGTGCATGGTGTTCCTAAAATGTTAGTACATACATAAATAAATATAGAATACAAATACTAGGAGATATAAAGATGCGAGCAATAATATTTGTTATCATAAAAAATATAAAAACGTAAGCTTGAGTTGCAACATAAATCCTAAGCCATCTTCTCTCAGCTATCATTGCTTGTTGAGGAAGAAAAAGGAGAGAAAGAGAATAGAGAAAGCTAATTTTTGGTCATTTTCATCCTTTGCTTCAGTTAAGAAAAGTTATATGATCATTGTAATTGACTCGAACCTCACTTTAATTTTTAATAATTTTGAGTTTGATGAATTTAACATCTCTTAAATCGATAAAAATATATTTTCTCTTGATTTATCACATTTTTATAGTGTAACTTTTGTATATAATAGATATAAATTTTATAGACATTTTAACTATAATATTATTAAATTTCATCAGGTAAAATTAAATTTATATTTTTTAAAAGTTTAGAATAATATATAATTTTTTTTAATTTATAAATTTCAATATTTCATATTATATTTCATGCATGAAATGGAGATTGATATATTTGATATGAAATAAATATAGTACGTGCATGTAAGCAAGGAATGCTAGCTATTAACGTTATAACTAATTCAGGTTGACTGTTAAAATATAAAACCCCACACATGTGGGTGACCCAAATGGCTTTCCTTTAAAGGTAATTTATAGTGTTATCCCAATTATATCATGCATTTGATGATTGGTTACACCGACGGATAAAGGGTGATGACTCTTAATAATTTATTTAAAAACACATATAATGATAAAATGATAAAGATACAATAATGATAATGATAATAATGAATATAGATGAAAAAGATAAAAATGCCACATTAAAGCTAGATGTTATACCTTATTAAATCATATACTGATGCATTATGTATATTGATAGCACTGATATATAGATAGAGAAATGTGTGTGCATTATATGTACTAATTTTATTATAATTGATATGATATATAAGACTGATCACATTGAGACATGCATATTCATACTACAGTATTGATTTATTGATTTCTTATGTATTTATATTTTCACACTTGTCATTGATTTATAAATTTTAGAATAATGTTTCTCATATTTTGTTCATATTGAATCATATTAGTGATACATATTGAATTGCACTTGTGATGACTGAGCATTAATTATATTGAATGTTATTGATTATATTGATAGAGGTTAGTATGCATATTGATACATTAATTATAGCATTGAAGGCTATAATGAGTTTTGAGTTTTTATTGAGATTTATAAGTTTATGGTGTAATTTTATTGATTTCATGTCAGGGAAGGGTCAATATCATGTGGAGTGAGATTGATTGAGATCCTCAGGTTCTTCCTTTACTTTTATTTTATAAATTTTTTACTCTTTTGTAGTCAAGAGTTATTGATAGATTAGTGATTGTTAGTGTTCTTTGGCTATTCTAAATGTGATTTTGATGAATAAATATAGTGAAATGTTTCCTTGTATATGATATTGAATGGCTTTTACAAGATATATTAATTTATGTTATTGATTTATAAAAGTTCTCGTAAATAATTAATGAGATAAAATAGATAATTCTTCCAATTTAGATCTTAGGACATGACAAATATAAAATTGATTCTTAAGTTGGATTGGACCAGACATCTTTCTAGTTCACGATTGAACCGATAGAATGGGTCAATGAGGTTTGATTTTTAAAAATATAAATCATAGTGTAATTTTGTATTATTTTGAAGTTACATTATCTTCATTATCATATTTAGATGCCTTTTTTAACACTAACATTGTTAGATCCCAAGTCCTAGATGAAAAAAGTGGAGGATTATATTAGGTAATCAACAATCAGTGTAAACCTTATCAAATAATGATAATATGAATCCTTTAATACATTATATTAATGACTAGGGCATTCCTTGGTAGCGACATATTGTATGGGTTGAAAATATTGAGAAGTATGCAAGGGCCGTTGCATTGATACCTATATACAATGTTAAGTAGGCAAGTGTTCCCACATTATAGACATATGTGGGAAAAAAAAGCTAGTCAATAAATCTAAAATTAAGATTGGAACTTAGAATATATATTCCCTTACAAGCAAACTAATTGAATTTATAGATATTATGATTCATAGGAAGATAAATACTATATGTATTCAAAAAACTAAATGGTTTGGAGAGAATGCTAAGGAGATTGATAGTTTAGGAATTAAACTATAATATTTTGGAAGGAGATGCACTAGAAATAGTGTATGTGTGATTATAGATAAGAGTGAAGGATAATATTATAAAAAATAAAAGAATTGGATACATAATTATAGATTTAAATATTATTATTGAAGCTAAGATTATTAATATTATAAGTGCTTATGCTCCTCAAGTAAGTTTAGATATGTGTTTAAAATTAAAAGTTTTAAATGGCTTAAAAAATTAATACGAAAGATATATCTTGAAAAAAGAGTTTTTATTAAAGGAGATTTAAATGGATATGTAGGTAGAGAGATAGTGATTTTAAATATTCATGGTGGTAATGAGTTTGGAGTGATTAATGAAGGTGATAAGACTATATTAGATTTTTTTTATATAGCTTATGATTTTGTAATTGTTAATACTTTATTTAAGAAAAAAGGTAAGTATCTCATCTCTTATAAAATGGATTAAAAAAACTTAGATTGATTATTTTTTATAAGAAAAATAGATCGTTTAGATTGTAAAAATTATAAAGTAATTCAAAGTAAAAGTTTGTATACCTAACATTACTTATTAGTTTTAGACTTTAAGATCCAAGGGAGGAATATAAAAAATAAATTAAAATATTATTTTAGAATTAGATGGAGACATTTAAAGAACACTAAAAAAATATTTTTAAGAGTAAGATTCTAGATCTTAAGATTTTGTTTGTGCATAAGGAAGCTAATATTATGTGAGAAAAAGTAGCTAGTGATAATAAGAATATTGCAAAGGATGTGCTTGGACTATCAAAGAGAAAAGCTCTTAATAGTACAAATATTTGATTGTGGAATTAAAATGTACAAGAAAAGATAAAAAAATAAGAAGGT